GCTATGACCTCTCTGTAGCCATCATGGCAGTTGAGGTCTGTTAAGAGTCAACAGTACAGCCATGACTATTTATTTATGATTATTTAATTAAAGGCTTTTATATTGTTATCAGAGTATAAGTATTTTACAAGTCATATGTTGTAATTTCTGTTATTTAAAAAACGTTTTTATTTTAAATCAAATATCATGAAATATTGTCCATTCAACCAACATCTTTATATTTATAAGAATTATTTGCAGGTTTTAGTGTTGAAAATTATATAGAAAATGAGACATTAAAAAAAATAACACATTGTATCCATTATGTGATACATGCCAGAAAACTAGCCTTAATGCGTTTTTAAATGTGTATTGGAAACCTCCTGTGCGTTTTATCATTGCTATGATTTATATGTTTAGTCCATATTTAATTATTTTACCAAAAATAAAATGTTTAGTATCAGATTAGTAATTGCTGCTGGTGTTCTCTCTCCACAGACTGATAGAAGTTCATTACAGAGTGTTGGTGGATGTTTCAGTCTAATGAGGATCCATCAGTCAGACAACATGGCCTCCTGAAGAGGAATCCATCACTACCGCTGTTTAAAAGAAAATACACATCTACATTTGAAGTCCTGATGTTTCTGAGAAAAAACGAAACGTTAAGAGACGTTAAAAGGAACACGTGTGTAAATGAAACTGCGATGCTGAAAACGTTAAAAAAGTTGGCAATAAAATGTGAGTAATTAACTTACAACGCTGAAGCTCTTCAAAGATAAACAGTTTTTCAGTAAAAGCCTCCATAAATTAGAAACGATATTGAAATACTGTTAGTATAATATTTAAAATACAGTATTAGGCATTATGTTTTATTTAAACTGCATTAAGTACGCCTCCCTGCATTATGTACAAAAAAAACGAATCGCCATGTTAAGACAATATATTTTTTTTTCATTTTAGCAGAATAAATAATAACAACCCATACAACATATTTACTCTAACCTCCAAACATTAATAATTCAATCTGAATTCCAACTTTCGTATAAAGCGATTTATTAGGTCAATATACTTTACAGTTGTCCCTTGTTTGGTCATTATTTCCTTCACATCACAAATAGCTGTCAAAGCTAGTTCCTACAGTTGGCAAACAGAAAATGTAAAACGTCTTACATGCAAATGTAGTCAACAAATTGTACGAAACACAAAACAAAAAGTCAGCTTCACCAAATGAGGACACATGCACATAACCAACAGAACATTTTGGCCCTACATATAAATACTTAAAAAATCTTTACAGTCTCATCTCATAGTGCCCATTTGTACCAATTTTTACCCATTTATATTTACATATTCACAGCGCAATAAATAAAAATGACAGCATATTGCCAAATTGTTGATCGGTCTGCTCAGTCTCACCTCTCAGACAAAATAGGCCAACTCCTCCTTTTTGTGCTTCATGCGAATCAGTGGGACATAGAGTCAATGCAAGTGTTTTTCATCATTCATATTTTTGATTTACAGTTCATGGCCTGGTCCCTTGCTCTATTTGTTGGTGCTGACTCCTCACTGCAAACCTGTTGACGTGCACCGGGATGGGCACCACGATTTTGGGGTTCCTCACTGGTTCTCCTGACCGGTTGTTAACGTTGCCGGCTTTGATCCGTTTCCACTTGGCCCTGCGGTTCTGAAACCAGATCTTCACCTGCACCTCGCTCAGTTTAAGTGCATGTGCGATCTGTGAGCGCTCAGTCAGAGAAAGGTACTTTTTACAGTGAAATTCCTTTTCCAGTTCCAGCAGCTGCTCGCTGGTAAAAGCTGTCCGTCTCCTGCGGCTCTTCCCCGCCGAGCTGCCGGGCGGTAGCACCTCCTGAGAGCCGGGCTTTAGTTTGCTCTTCTGGGAGAGGGAGCCACAGTTGTTCCCGTCGGAGAAACTCTCGTTCTCGCTGTCTGCGGAGCTGTCCTCGCGGTCACTGCACGCGGTGTCTGCTGACTTTAGGTCCAGCTTCTCGTCGTCTGAGCTGTACAGTTTGGTCTCACCTAAAATGTAGAGAAAGGATCATAATCATTATTTACTTGTTCTTAAGTTTGTAAGTGAACAGTGCTCATTGAGTTGTGGTAAGCTGTTAGAGATAAAAATGTACAGCCAAATTGTTGAAAACACTCCTAATAATTGTAGTTTTGTACAATAAACATTAATGCAACACTAACTGAACTAGCCTAATATAAGATCATTACATCTGCCCTGTGTGTGGAAATTCAGTTGTTCTGTACGTTTGTAGGCCTACTGCAACAAAGATTGAGTTTTAATCTCCCTAACAACAAACAATATATTTAACTTTTTGCTCAAATTTGATTAGTGATTCACTCTAATTCGTACTGTAATATTATAAAGAACAATTAAGAAATAATTCCAATAATAATAGCTGTATCTAGAATGACATTAGCTATATTCAGGTTGCACCCCATGCATTTTGACTTTATTAAATGTGGTTTCATATTCTAAAACGGTAACAAAACGGATTGAGATTGGTTTTATCCATTTGACAGCACCTCTGAGACTAAACACACTCACTATAGGCCAACAATCTCTGTTTCAAATAGGTTTTACGCACAGTAAGTTATTCCATAAATAAGTCAAGATGCCAAGCTTACCTGATATTGTTTGAAAAGTTTCTGAGAAGTTGATCATGTCGGAGCCCTTGTCCCGGCTGTGCAGCTCGTCAGAGTGCGGACTCTCCTGCCTCCTGGACCCGGGGTCGGCTGCGCTTAAACGGGGACCTGGGAGCTCCTGTGGGGGGTAGAAACTGTCCGGAGGATCCGAGAAACTTGGCATGGTCGTGGTGAGCGCCACCATGGAGGGCACCCCTTGTCCCAAACTGGCACAGAATGTGTTGGTGAGCCGTCCCGCAAAAGAAGCCAAAGGCGCCAGTGGAGGTAACCCAGTTAAAGGCGAGTGGGATAAAGCTTGTGGGATCATCAGAGGTCTGTACGGCATGAACATGGGGTAGCCCGTGTAGAGCAGGTGTCCCGGTCTGGGATGGTGAGTCCCTATGAGGGAATCGATTGAAAACGCCGTCGCTTGGCCGCCTGGTCTCTGCATGTTGCAGGAAAACACTTTTCTTTATTTGGTGGAAAACTTGAAAGCTAGGTGTCCTTTTCCCACGGCGTAAAACGTTCAGTGCACAGACGGAGAGGAGTGAAAGTAGATCCGGTGCCGTGTTGTCATCCCTGGGAGAGTGGCTGCTGCTCCGGGTCTCTATCAGTGGGTCGGCCGCTTTGTTGTGAGCCCCACCGCTACCCTTTTCCCTCTTATTTGTCACACTGAGACATAAACACACGCTCCCTCTCTCTATCTACCTCTCTGCAACTCCTCCCTCCGCCCCTCTGCGGAGCGCATTGGTTATCATCTGCAATACAAGGGGAATGAAAAGGGGGAGTTTCCCTGGGGGCTCATCCATCTTCCTCAAATTACGCTTCATTTCCTTATTCAGCCTCTGACTTTTTGGCCGTCTTGAGAGGCGGTAGTTTCCCAGTGGAGACCAAATAGACGGGTCGCCCCCCCCCCCCCCCTCCAAAAAAAAGCCCTCCCTCCCCTTTTGCCAGGTTCACCATTGACTGCAAAACGGTGTGAGAGACTGTTCCGGCCCTTCCCCTTCTATAATCGTTGACCACACCAACCCAATCAGCTATTATTAATTTTGATTGATGATAAGTAATTACTCTGGATTTAAGGGACAGCGTAAAACAACGGTGGCTTTTGTTGGGGTATTGGGGGCCGATGGGCATCAGAGTCAGGAGGGAGGAGAGGCAGATGTTTTTCCGCTCTCTGCCCTATTCTCCGCGGATAAAAACAATGCGTTTGGCTTCAGAAAAAGAGAAGTGCTGCAACAATTGTTCCCTTGAGAGAGATACTCTGCGCGAAATTAGATCCAGATAAAAGGCGTTTATGCGAGGTCAACTGCAGTGTGGAAACATAGTGGCCAAAGTCAAATCTGAGTGATTTGTCTGGACTCAAGGGGCATTTATTAAAAAAAGCTGTGAATTGTAAACATTTAACGTCTTTACCGATTAAATGTCAACTAAATCTTCCTCAAAGTGTTTTAATAATTTAAATAAAACACACATTTTAGTTGTAATTCATCCCTGATCAAAAATGCATGGAGAAAAAAAAATACTTTTTTCTTTAAGCAGTGGTTTAATCGCAGATCATTTCACCTTTAAATGGCAATAGGAACTGATGATGATTAGCCCTATTGAGTCCAGGGAGCCGGGCTCTCCAACTGGTCGTCTGATTGCAAGAGGACATAAACATATCACCGGCTCTGATTAGCAGGCCAGGCTAATTCTTATAATTGCAAGTGACTTCAGCAGCACCCCTCTTTGATCTATTGAAACCATTTCCTGACATCCTCTGCCTTTCTTATGAGGGAAACTCTGGTGGTATGACAATTCTAAATATATATTAAGATTAGAATTGTTTTTGTTGTATAGATATTTGGCTTTTTAAATCTAAACGTTTTATACAATATAAGAGAATAAGGCATATTCTTTTTTTTGTCAAAACACTATATATTTTAAATGTCACTAATGAATATGTCGCTGCTTTTCTTCTCAATACAAGGTATATTTATTTTATTAATTCTGCAGATATTTGTGGCCATAATGATCCTTTCAATTTAACGTTTTTTTCAAGAAAATGACCAATGCTATTATATTTCTCTTCTAAATCATTTGACCAGGTTAAACAAGATTAAGTTAATCGGAACTTCTTGATAAAAGCACACATTCAATTTGATATAAAAAACGATTTATTGTAGTTTCAACTTTTTTACATTTTAAAAGTTAACTTATATTTTCAAAGTGTGGCTTGAAAACAAAAGCTCAATACTTTTTTATTAAATGTATTTTTTTAGTATTGATATTAAAAAGGGTATGGAAAAACGAAACGCAACAGCAAAATAAGGAGAAGAAAGAGAAATGTTTGACAAAATGAAATAATACAAAAATCAATGACAATATTACACGGTCATGGTGGAGTATTTTATTTTTACACAAAATCTATATGTGATATAAAATACCTAATGACAACAACAACGGTGGGAATACTTATGTATATGCAAATATTTTTAAGGCAATAATCAACACAACATCATCATCATTATGTGCATTAACATCAAATAATCATCAGGTATACAAATACAACCATCTGAACCTATTAACTATGTGCACAAGTACAAAAAACGTAAAATAAAAAAATAAAAAACACATTGCATACCTGCATTGTATTATAACAACTCTAGCCTATAGCTCCCTCTTGCGGCCAAACGTGTAACTGAAATAAAAGTGACAGGAAAAGCAGCTGCTTCTACAAGAAATGTGTATCATAAAATGTATTTATTATTTGAGTGTACTGCCAGTGCTACACTTTTAACTCTTTAACAGCTGCTTCTTCCTCACATTCAACAGCACTCAATCCTCACCAGGACTCTGTCTAACAGAGGCTACACTACAGTGGCGGTTCTAGACCAATTTGATTGGGAGGGCCAGGCTGGGGCCAGTTATTTTCTGAGGGGGGCACAATAAATGCGGGACGAAAAAGACAAAAACAGTATGAAGTAATTGCGCATAAGAAAACAATGCAATACAGTTATTGGCACTTGTTTCATTACACATATTTATTTCAGATACTTATAGTTACAGTTTTTACGCTCTAATGTTAATTCCGCCTATTCCGTCAGGCAAGAAATCGTTTAATCATAAACTTTTTCTTTTTTTCTTTTCATTATCAGGGGGGCCACAGGGGGGGTCCAAAGTCAGTGTTGGGGGGCACTGCCCCCTAGAACCGCCCCTGGCTACACACAGACACACACACACAGTGTTCTCAGTGGACATGGTCTCTGTACTCCAGCAGCAGGTAGTTCTTGATGAAGGTGGGCAGGTCCAGTTCAGGGACCACTTTGTGCACCCGGAGCTCCAGGAAGCTCCTGATCTTGCAGCGGGCCAAGTGCTGCAGGGAGCGAGGACTCCGCTCCAAAGAGAAGACGGACTCATAAAACTCTTTGTGCTCCTGTGTGATAAAAAAAAAATAATAATTACCCTGAGATCACATATTATTATATTATTTGTCACAGTTTAGAGCAAATCATGGCATGGCAGCACTTCATATTAATACAAAAATGAGTAAACAAGTCATCTACCATTTGCAATGTTCTCCTGTGGATTACAGCCTTTTTGAATATTAAATATTGCTCATACTCTACAGCTATAATAACCCTGAAACCTGCAAAAAAAAATCAGCATGTTTTGATACATTTATAACCCTTTTGTAAATGAATGTTGTCCCTAAAGGCCTTCCATACTTCAGAGTTTCTCATAACCCTGAACATATATAAATGAGCTGTCAAACTATTAAAGGATATTTATTTATTTGTATGCATTGATTTAAATGGTGCTGCCTAGTAGTCCCAGTAAATACCATTAATAAATTAAAGAAAAAGGAAAATATTTGAAGATCTGAAATTTAGAAAACATAAAAACATTTGTCCTAAAACACCCACTCTGGTTGAATTCAACTCTTGAGTTTATTATTTCGTAAGCTTGCCTTTAACACCTCCGGTGACACAGCCTCGACCCAGGTGTCGTTGACTTTGAGGCTACTGTAGGCATTCAGAAGAACCTCGATGGTGCGTGGAGATCCACAGCAGTGCTTCAAAACCTTCAAAGAAACGCCACAACACAGAGGATAGATTCAGATAATCATCTTTTAAGTTCATGAGCGAGCTTGTGACTCCATAGAACTGAAGAAATAAAGTAATTAAACACTTGTGAAATGAACAGATTGGTCTTCCCTCCAGGGGTTTAACTGGAAATTATGCAATTAGTGCTAATTAATCTCCTATTAACACTTGCCTAATTAGGAACCAGGCATTTTGTCTAGTGCACGTGGGTTCACTGATGGTTGTAGTCTGTTTCCCGCAGAGAGTGCAACACTTCATGTTGTGTCATGAAATGGGAATGATTTGAATGTGAAGTTGTGAAGTCTGGAATATTTCAAGGAACAGTTTTAGTGCTTCTTTCTCAAGGTGTTACATGTGCAGTTATAGTGCTAATTATGCAAAATGAGACACCTTGATAAAAAATTGGTTCAGGCCGTAAATACATACTCCTACGAACCGATCTGGATTGCTGAATTAATGTGCAAACATTCTATGTATAGTATTTTAACATCACATCTTTAATTTCCTACCATTGGCAGAGCTCCAGGCCACACCCGGATGGAGCCGTGGTTGAGCAGAGCCCGGACGATCCTCTCGGGGTGATGGGACACCTTGTAGCACACCACCTTCAGGATGTTGTGCATGGGAGCTTCCCCCCCGTAGTCCATGTCATTAACGCGGGCACCATGAGCCAGCAGCAGGTCCACTATGTCTGGGTTTACATTCTTACAGGCCATGTGCAGAGGACTGTGTTTGTCCTGGTCCTTGGTCTGCACGTTGGCCCCGGCCCCCAGCAGCATCTGGCAAACCTTGAGGTAACTTTCAAGCTCCTGCAGCTCCTGGGGTTGTGAACAAGCAGCGTTCAGAGGCGTGAGACCCTCACTGTTCTGTTTGTCCACAGCAGCTCCATAGCGCAGGTAGAGCTCAGTGTGGTCTGTGAGGCTGTTACTGGCTGCCACGTGCAAGGGAGTGTCGTCTTCATCCACGGTGCGGCCATTAATAGCTGCTCCGTACTGAAGGAGGTACTTGGCACATCTACAGACAGAAGAACAGAAGCTTGTTTTGTAAAGTAATACGACTGGTGTTCTCATGTAAACACTGGATCAGAGGTGTCCATCCTTTTTGTCTGACTCTCAGTCTTATTATTAGATTAACTATTTAAACATGTGTTCCAAATGTGATGTTCCAAAAGATTTCAAACCGGATAATATGAAACACTTTATTTTTATATAAAAGTGATGCGATCATTTATACATAAAAGATAGTAATCCTGAATTGAAAAAAGATGAAATGCTTTTGGAGTAATAAGGCCACACGTGTTTTTCAATATCTGCTACTGATAAGCAATCGATTATCGGTTTACTGATCTAAAATAACAGTCTTCCTTTTAAAAAAGTTAAATTGATTCATTGACATTCAGAGCCTTTGCAGCAAGTCTGGTCCAACCAGTAGCTTATTACGGCTGATGTTAGAAAATACCAAGTTTAAGTTGTGGCATGATTGTCATTACTGACATTCTGTTTCATTTGGTTCCACTTTTGTTCTTCTTTACTCACTCAAAGGATTCAGGACTTGTGCAGAAGTGCAAAGGCATGAGGCCGTCTTCAGTGACAGCGTTGGCGTTGGCTCCATGGATCAGCAGCAGTTTGGTGCACTCAGGCTGGCAGTTCTCACAGGACTCGTGCAGGGCGGTGGTGCCCCCTGGGGCCAGGTCCACATTGGCCCCCCGCTGCAGCAGCAGTCTCAGGCACTCTGAGAAGCCTCTGCCAGCTGTGATGTGAAGCGGTGTGGTCAGCTCCTGCTCATAAGTCAGTGACCATAGTCCTGCCAACAGAGAGTACAATGTGATGCCAACATTGTGCCCAACCCTTCATTACTGCAGATATTCAAGGGTGTTTTTACAATGAAGCACTTTATATCATAACATGTTCAGTAACTGCTTGACTCTTTTCAATACTCACTAAAAGCCCCTGGTATGCTCAATAAAAGTAAGACTTTTTTGCATAACTGTAGACAGTTTGATATATCAACAAAGTTACAACATAACCTACTCAGTCTTCTGTAGTTAAATCTGAAGTTCTTCCATTCGTCTATGTTGCTGGTGTCATAAACGGCATCAATAAGGTACTCATACTCGTCGTCGTCGTCGTCCAAGATGCTGAAAACGGTCAGCTCATCACCCACAAGCAAAGAGTTCCAAAACTGCAGGACACAACCCGAGGCCCTGGATGTGGCTATCACGTCGTTGCGGTACTTCTTGGGTTTGTGCCATCTCACTTTAGGTGCTATGTAAGCCATACTGGTACTAAATAGATTGTTTTAAACTTTTTTGACAGGCTGGGTTCTCCAGAAGGAAAAACACGTTTATGCAGGTTGTTTGCGCAGACAGGGCTATTTCAGGGTGGTTGATATGTGATATTCAACTTGACCCAGTAAACGTTGACAGTGAAGGCATGGGAGCCAATGACTGGTGTGTTACATGTCACCTGCCTATACTGATTAAGTTAATTCACTGAAGTCAAAGAGCATTGACCTCTTGCACCCAAAAAGTTTAAGGGAAAAACTTTTTTATGACTAATTATCATTTGTAACATCTTATATTAAAGGGTATTGTATGTCCTGTATTCAGCGATAGGCCACATTTAAATCCAACTCTCTCTCTGTTTATGTGTTTCTATTAATATTGCTCAGTGTGTCTATAAATACTGGGTCCGGGTGAGAAGCACCAGGTACAGCTCTTTACTTTATATCTATTATTTTCTCTCTATCAATGTATATTTTTTATATTTTTTAACTTTTTAATGCTATTTTATTTCTATTTCAGAAATATTTTGGATTGTTTATTTCTAGTGTTTAAATTGCCTTGTCTTTTTATGCTGCTGCAACGCAAACATTTCCCAAATTAGGATCAATAAAGTACTTATTTGATCTTATCCCAACAACACATGTGAACGTCTCTCACATCAGTTAATTGTGGCAGCTCATCTCCAGGGAATACAATGAATGTATCTAGCTCTGCTATATACATTCCTGGATTAATATCTAATGAGGACATACTGTATGTTGTCTCCTACCTTCCCCTGCGGAGACCCAGCGCATGTCCCCTCCCTGTGGCTCAATGATGAGGTTTGTTGAGGATCCTCTAGGAAAGAGTTGCTGCACAGCCTGCAGGTCTCCCGTGTAAAGAGCGTTCTGGATGACCAGGTCGTGGCAGATTGCTGGTGGCATGGTGGTCCTCAGCAGTGTCCTCTCCCTGATTTCCTTCTGCAGCATATAGCTATTGAAGTGATGGGTAGCCAGCTGCTTCTTGTGCTTGTGTCTCGCCAGCATGTCCTCATCAAGTTCGAGAGAGCGCAAGGCCGTAGATGTGAAGACAAAGCTGCCTTGAGACATGCTTAAAATCTATTCTTACGAATACAAGTGTGAAAAGTTAAGTGAGAGAGCTGGCTATAAAGGCCTGTCTCTCTCTCTGTCTCTGTTGTTGCTTTCCCTCTGTCTAATGTCCACTATGTCCCTGCCGGCTGTTCACAGGGTCGGTTCAAAGAGTTGTTTTGGTGTTCGGTATGAGACCCTCCCCTGCAGTGTGACAAGTTGTGCTATTTTTATGTCTCACATGTAGACACTCGAGCCTCTTCTATTTGCCTCAGGCAAAGTTACAGCCATGAAGGGTCCCTGTCAGGCTGCAAGTGTCAAAGTAGTTTAATAAACGCACAATACTTGCTGTTTGGGATGTGATAGAACAAATGATTAAATCACACAGTATCATATTTGACATAACTTCAATAACCAGCAAATGGGAGGAGTGTTTCTACATTAAAAATATAGCTAACTTTATATTCATAGATTTTATACTTAAAAACATACGGCCTATTCCAGAAATTGGCAATATTAAGGGTCAGGTAGTTGGATTCACCCTTACCATTCCTAAAAAATAATGAAAAGTAGCAGACAACTTTTTATGTCCTGACAAGGGCAAATAAGAATGGCCTGTAAGCCCATGTGAGTATGTGTTTGCAAAGTGTATTTTTCTGCTCAGTGTTTTTTCTGTTCAAGAGCCTTAATGGATTTTATGTATCCACATGGCTCCCTGCATTAGAACATTAGGCTGAATGACTGGCAACCGCTGTGTCACTCTGCCCCACGTGTAGTGTTCTGATGGCGGAGGGACGGCGCATAATTAAGCCTCTTAAGCCTACTCACTAGGCATCTGACAAACATCTCATATGAGTGATGGACCGTCATTTTCCAATGCTAGAAGTTCCATCCAGTAGCAAAATCCCATTCCATCTTTTAGCTTTCTAGACACCAAGGAAAGATTTTCATGGCTTGGAAGGATTGCCTTTAAGTCGTTGTAGAATGATTAACTTGCTTATATATCTCTATCCATTAAAATGTGCTATAATGGGTGCACAATGTCTAAAATCAAACACGTTTTCATGTGTGTTTATCCACCTCTGTGAGTCTATCAAGGTGCCTGTAAGCTCAAGGTCTGCACTGCAGGTGAAGAAGAATACGATATTTGTCAAGAGGTTTACCTTCTTTCCCATTTGAAAACACGGAAGCATCGCTGCATCTCATCTATACCTTAACGACTGTTCTGGTATGGAAATCAAGGTCATTTATTTTATGTTACAGTTTGGTAATAGATGCCACATTAAACTGAAGGCGAGTAAGAGTTTCAACTTTGAAAACACACATTACCAGAGAGAGACTAGGAATATTGTTTTTGCGGCTGGAGTACATCCTTTTAAATGATATACATAATGAGTTTATAATATGCATCTGGGCTACCTCCTCTCTACTTTGATGTCTTCCAAATGGCCCGGGTGTCATCAGCAAAACATGTAGGCACTTTCCCGCCTCATTGACTCCCAAATGTATTTTAAATATCATTCCTGGTAACGCAATTATTTAAAACGCTGAACTAAACACTTACTAATGGGGAAAAAGACAGCGACTTCGATAAATTCATTTCTCAAATGGTGGGCCTTCATGTTTCTTTCTTTTTTTCCTTCTTCTGTGAAGCGGAGGCAACTCTGATGGCAAAAAAAAAACATCAGCAGTAGTAATACCCCCTGGCCTCCCAGCCCCCTGTGGACATACTAAATCTTTGGTTTTCTTACATTACCCACCAGAAGCAGTCTCTCAAGGTTTCCTGCATAGTGGTCAACTGCCCTCCAAGGCGGCGAGAGGTTGGACATCAGCAACAGGCCTGATGAGAGTGAGGCACTTCATTTATGCAATCATAGGCAATTAGTTCCCTCTGATTATGTGCCTCTTAATGCTGTTTTGAGTACTGTGGCACACAGTAATACAGAAAGAGATTAAACTATAGCCCTCCCTCCACACTGAGCAGTCATTTAATATACTGAGAACATAATGAAATGTACACAGTAATTACAGTAATATTAAACACTAATGGCTTTGCAATTAAATGTGAGACATAGTGCATGCAAAGACAGTCTAAGTTTAGAGAGTGCCCCATGAAATCAGAGCAATAAATTATCCATCAGGTGTTTCTAATATTAATAATTTATGTCTAACTTATTTATTATTATTCCTAATAGAGGTAGCAAGATTGTGTCTGGCATGTGGGCGATTCGGTGCTGGTAAGAGAGGAATTAATAAGTCATTTAAACACTGGAGTTAAATAGAAATTGGGTCTGAAGTTTGTATTCTAGAGGTAGAATAACTTGGAGGTCACCATGAGCATTGATAAGAGATAATGAGCAGGCTTAATTGGCTAGCGTCATTATGCAAAGGGCGGCTGCTGCATTTACACCTCTGTCTGCTAAATCTGATATCATCTTGGCTCTTCTTGATATCATATTGACTCATCGTAATGTTAGTCGGTATGGGCACATTATGGTAGATAAACAATGTCTGTTTTAAGTCTTCCATGCCATTAAAATGCCTCTGAGAGGCCATCAACACTGGTTTCCTCTGGCCCATCAAAGTCCACAACAGGGCTTAGACAAGGTGCCCTGTTTGCAAATCCCCCCCACGTCTCATCACAATCCTTGAGATGTTGGTGGAGAACCTAAATGAATTTATAGAGCCTTGAATTGAACAGTAGCTCCAAACTATTCTGTGGAAGCATGATTACTTTTTCTGTACTCTTTCAGCTCTGAGCCCACTACCTATAATGTATTGTATCGGTCTTTGCAGATTCCAATTGTCTCTCAATGCACTGATCACCACGCAAATAGCCCTTTGTTTCATCATGACAATTGAGAGGTTCATATTTCAACCTAATAGTCCTGTATAAGTTTAACCATCTATCACAACCTCATTTCATTGCGGTTGCAGTTAATACGCGCTTCCCTGCCAAGTGGAACATTTTCTAATGATGCACTCTCACACGAAAACAAGGCAAGCCAGCCTGGGCTCTGCATCACTCACTAATGCATCCATCCATAATGTGTTCATAGCAGTCTGCCTAAAGGAGACAGCGATGACTACCACTAGGCATGGGCATGAGAGGGGATATGGGGAAGGGTGCAAGATACAAAACCTAAATGGGCATGATAATCATGAACAAAGTTACTGCCATCAAAAACTGTATCACCCTCATAATAACATCTGTAGATTTCACATCATTACCAAGAATACTCGGAAGCATCTTAAATGGGTATCTTAACAATAACAGTCAGCGGTGGGAGTCACATCCAAGTGCATTATCATAGTGAACCCGGCTTTGTAAGATGTTGACAAGAGTAGCATAATAGGTGTATGTAATGTCTGATGTAAACACCATCGTAATTAGAGAGACCTTTATCAGTTCCTCCATTTTATGCAGATTGGACCGGTACAAACGCTGGTGTCATTATCCTGTAATCAAGTGCTATTCAGTTGACAGTGTCGTCTTTTAAAACCCTGATTAGGATGCATAACAAGCATACAATGTTGCATTATTTCCTCTGTCTGTTTATAAATATGTCAATTTCGAAAGCTGACTGAATTTTGTCAGGGTTTCAATAAAGATATAGTATAAGGTGAAGAACAAAAACTATGCCCCTTTTTCCTCAAATATGAAACTCAACTTTAAAGAACAGTAGATTGTTTTACAATAGGGCTGCACAATATATTGTATTTATCAACATTGTGACATGACCTTGTGTTTTTGGGCAGTTTAATGTGTGAAAATAATTTCCTTTTTTTTTTGCAATTTAAAAAGCAATTTGTTCTGTTTTGTTGGCATTCATTTCTCAACACTTAAGTCATTCACTTTTATCTTTGAGTAATTAAGCGCCATATCCCGTTTTTTATTTTCCTTTGGCCTACCGGAATGTCACTTCCGGTTGCTATCGTTGTTTCGACAGTCCCTACTTTAGAAACATTCCCTTTTATAGGCTACTTGTTGAAGGAATATTTGTTTCTGTGCAGCCTTAAAGAGCCGTCTTCAAATAAACATTAGTGGCATCGTCAAACAGCACTTTTTGGGGGGTTTTGTTTGAAGGTTTTTCCTGTTTTGTCTCATTAACAGTAACGATAGTATGTCATTATCATTGCTAGCTAACTTCATGCTAACCTTAGCTGTATTGCCAAGATTAAGTAATTTATACTTGTAATAGTTGTTAGTTTCACTATCTGAGCTTCTTCCTCATTATGTTTTAAGATGTAATATTAACTGAGACATTCACGAGATCACTATGTTATGCCAAATCAAGAAGCGATTAGCTGAGTGACAGTCATTTAGTTTAAGATTTGATCAAACTCCAGTTAGATTATCCTCTCTAAATCGCGGCCACCTGTTTAATTTGGCACCTGTCATGGCTGTGTTCTCTCACAACCCGTATTTGTGTCTCGAGGTGCACACAGGTGCCTTTTGGTTTATAGGAGACTACATGTACAGTATGTGTGTGAAGATTTAAGTGCATCATGTACAAAATATTGTTTTGTATAAATAAGGCTGATGTCTCAACAACCTCCTCATACTTAACGAAATGCCACTATTTACACACAAGTTACATTTTGACTTAATATGTCCATATCTCGTATATCAGTATCCACTATGCTATAAAACATACTTATAGAGCTACATACTCGGTTGTAAAACAACTGTTAATTGACATCATTAAATAACACATTTGTGGCTTGCTTTACTCACTTTTAAGGATCGTTTAATTTCTTATTTTATTATACATGTTGCACCTAGAGGACCAGCACACAATACATTTCGTTGTTCCTTAATAATGACGTTCTTGAATCGTGAAAAGCATTTTTGTATTAACTTCCATGAGTTTAAAAATGTTTGTGTTAAGACTGTCCATAAACTGACAGCTAGATATTATCCCATATGAACACTTTGCAAATGCCCAGTAGTGTTATCTTAATGTAGCAGAATACTGATATCATGCATGTAGGTAGGTTAGCACTGCACAGGTGTTTTCGCCAAATTGCAGTGCATCTGTTTGCAAAATGGTACGTTTCAAAGTTGTAATGTAGGCCTTCACAGAGACAATAAGTCTGTCCATTTAACTGACAGCTAGATATTATCCATATGAACACTTTGCAAATGTGCGGAAGTGAACAGATTAATGTAGCATAATACGGATACCATGTAGGTTATTGTAGCTGCACATGTGTTTTCGCCAAACTGCAGTGCATTTGTTTGTTAAATGTAATGTTTCGTAGGCTAACGCAAAACCGAGGCAATTACCCCATCTAGTGGCTCATAATGACTTTACACTCTAAATGAAAGCAGTACAAGAGATTACATCAAATGGAAAGAAAAGCTTTTTGTGCTTATGTTTTATTGAATTCAAAAACTACTACAGGTGCACGAGTTTGAAACCTCTGTCACAGAAAGTGTGTTGCATTGAAGTCTTCATTTGGAGCTGGTGTACTTTGTGACAGCCTTGGTTCCCTCGGACACCGCGTGCTTGGCCAGCTCCCCGGGCAGCAGCAGCCGGACGGCGGTCTGCACCTCTCTGCTGGTGATGGTGGACCGCTTGTTGTACTGAGTCAGTCGCGAGGCCTCTGTGGCGATCCTCTCAAACAGGTCATTCACGAAGGAGTTCATGATGCTCATCGCTCTGCTGGAAATCCCCGTGTCCGGATGCACCTTTGACGGTAGAGAGGAAAAGCTGGGTTACTCAATTGGAACATTGAAGCATTTACACGTTTTCCTTTTGTTCCACCCACCTGTTTCAAAACTTTGTAGATGTACATCGCGTAAGTCTCTCTTCTTTTGGCCTTTCGTTTGCCCTTTTTCTCTCCCGGGCCCTTCCCCTTCTTTTTAGATGCATCATTAGTCATTTTAAACAGTGTCTAACTACTTTGACAATCTTAAGTAAGTCAACCGCTTTATCGAGTGCTTTAGGAATTGTTTTCGGGCTCGAGGGGACGGCTGTTTGTAATCCTATATAGCGTTCGTTAATTAGTGACTGATTGGACCCACCTGTTTAATTGTTTGTTGAGCGGATAGGCTTTCGCTCCATATTAAAATAACATTGATGACAACAATAAGGAATGAAAGTGTAACTAAGAGCCCTCACAAACATACGTTTTAATTTAGGCAGGTAATGTTTTATTCCTTTTTTTTTTACTGCAGTACTTTTTTACTACGGTAATAAAGTGATAAATGGAGGTAGAGTTTTATCATTGCACATACTATTGGTGTCCACTGGGTGGCACACTTGTACCAATATTCAAGCTGCATTCAATCTCTCAATTAGAGTTGTCTACCTGTCCATTGGAATCCATTGCAATCGTCGGTGTATCTTGTAGCTAACACAATATATTAGCGCTAGGGTTATATTCATGTGAAATAGCATTTACAGGACACACTTTTGAGTTGCATTATATTCACCATGAGTTTTATGGTAAGCACGCTCTTGATCCACATGTAGGCCTGCATTGTTTCCTGCTGATAGATTAATGTAAACTTGTTAAAAAAGGTATGATGTTATCATCAAGGTTGGATTAAAGCAGGACCAGACACCCGGCCCAAACCCCCCCAGGTTAATTTTGTTTGATTAAGTATGTGGAAGCGGATACGTATGGCACTATAAGTGTCTAGTCCTGAAGCTTTCTAATATACTAGAGTGCTGTTTTAAGTCCCTAGCGTTTAAATTCAGATTACATTTACTTGGTGCTGTAAGTATTTTGTGTTTTAACAAGCTCCTAATTTGAACAAACTGCAAAGCAATTGAATAGTAACATTGTAGCTTTGTGCTAATGATTGTTTTTAGTTTTCCTTGTCAATTTATAATGTAGGCATATCCTCATCACATTCAGATACCAGAAACATTTTTATATTATTTATACAATGTACTATCTCTTATGGTCAATAGGTGCACAACGCTTGTCACTGGTATAGGGAGCATCTGCCCTCTCGCTGTACTGTAATGTATTTCAGGTATATTTGGTGTCACTGTGAGGTGTAATTGTACATAAGGGGGTAATTGTTTGGTTAGTAATGGTATGTTTACATCCCCAAGCTTGCATTTGTCCTGCACGCTTTTATATGTAGAACACCTTGACACATTTTAGATTTACATGCTGATGATTGGGATAAAAAAGTGTCAGCTTCAGGCCTGTATTTTCTTTGTTCAGATATTCCTGTGATGTTTTTTCCGATAAAGAGTGTATCATCTTAATTGGCCATTGGTGTGTTGTTTAATATCGCAATTGAGGAATAAATATGACGGCATACTGACTTTGACCACTAATGCGTTTTGTCTTAAAGCAGAGTATTCCCAACATCTGACATTGTTATTGTATTTTTTGTATTTTAGTGGAACATTATCTCCTGTATATACATTTCAATAAGTAGAAATGTCCTCATGATGACACACCAGTTAAATAATATGCTCAGCCAACAACACAAGTCAGAGATGTATCTATCTTGTGTGATATGTGTGTGTTTCATCTATATTTAATATAGGCCTGCTATGTCATAGCCTCTGTATCATATAATCTGTTTGATTGATGTGACCCAAAGCAGTTGAAGAAACTGAGCACAAAGACTTCCTTTATATCAAACAAACACATAGCTCTGAAGCACTTTATCATGGTCATTCTTTACTATCATAGCCAGGGACAGTTGTTTTTAAACATGTAACTGAGGTGTCAATACATTTTTAGATACACCAATCAAACACATAAAAACATGGTAGGTAAGCTGTGAATTTGAGAAGAAATGTTGCAAATTCACTCTGTATTAAATAGGCTATTCAGGTTTTAGAATGTGAAGTAAATTGACAGTAGTGTTAAGACAGACACCTGGGAGCTATATCAGTGGAGCATTGCTATAACAACATCTTCATGGAAACAATTTGGGTTGGAAATAGCTCTGGACTCATTACTGAAAACCTTCAGCAATTCACAGTTATTTATATACATTTGAACAAAACAAGATGTAAAAGGTCCTATTTCTATCTGCCACTTATAATGCACTACACAGCTTTGCTCACAACAATTATTAATATTATTCAGCCTAAGCAATATGACATTTTTCAGTGTGCAGCACAGAGATCCTTCTCTTTTGCATAAAAGGTTTTTCCTGTATAACTTCAAGGACCCTCTGATGTTTTCTTAGATTTACCAAAATATCTGCTTTTATTTATTTTTCTAGAAGAAACAGGTGCATTTGGTTTGATAAACAACACATTTGAGTATGTAATTAGTGCCAGATCTCTTCAGTACATTGCCATTCCTGTGTTCAGGGTCTTGGACTTTTTCTTCTTCTCTTCTCAGTGTTGTTCTCCACAAGCACAGCAGATAATTGAGCAGTAGATTACATATGAAAGGGCCCTTATCTCGAACAGCATTTATACAAGGTCATTTGCAGCCACTGTCACACACATTGAATAACAGCTATTGGTTGACGGTATTGTGAAGGCCGTTTCTTCTCTCTGTTCTCTGGCAGATTTCTGCGGTTTGCTTGTTTCATCTGTGAAGAGAAGATGAAAAAAAGGTGAGTAATGTGTGCTTCACATCTGCTACCTCGCTTGGTGTGTCTGACGGTGACAGAAAAAATGAAAATGTGCTGTACTGTTTATCGCAACCTTTCATATCAACATATTGCTAAAGGCTACGATGAGTGTTTGTTTTGTTATTTTCTGCTGGGTTTGTAGCTTAATAGAACAAAGCTTAGCTTCATTCCTGCGGTGATTGCTATGTAGTTGCCAAATACCCAAGATGTTTCACAGTCTTTTATACAATATAACAGGTTGTGTTTCTGTGAACATATCCACACTCAAAGCTTTATCATGTTGCCCCTTATTTGATAGCAAGCAGGAAAAAAATGTAGATGATCTTCTCCATCTTTCATACACTACTTAAATGTCTTTTGCTTTTAATCTGTAAAGCACTTTGAATCGCCACATGCTGAAAAGTGCTATATAAATACAATTGCCTTGCCTTGCCTTGCCTTGCCTTGCCTTTCAGTTGAAAAGGCATTTTGTGACCATTGTGATTTTTTTTTAGGTTTGCAATGAAGTTTTGCAATCACTGTTTTTTCATGTATTTGCAGTGTACTTGTGTAAGCTGCTGAATATTGTATATAGATACAACAAGGGGCTTAGAGGCGGGCATAGTTTTGAAGGATCACACTTTCAGTCTAAATGTTCTAGCTCCTCTGTACTGGCACTGCCGTGTTGGTGCAGTGTTGCATTTCTCCTGCTCCTTCTTAACTTAGTGATGTATGTGCTCTTAAATGTTGACTGCTTTACTGCAGGGTTCATCTCCTAACAGGGTAATCTCTTCTCTGAGGGCCTTGTCCAATCTGCATAACTTGGGCATCACCACGAATGATTTACTGTAATTGCTGCCTTTAGCTCCACATCATATCCTGGCAGTTTGCTTGTTGCAGGATTTTTCTTTTGCTAGCCGAACTCTAGTCCTATAGCATCTTACTTAATATCCAACATAATGAGAGTGACGCTCTCAACATTGTTGCGGTACTGTTTACTTGTCATACCAGACGGAATTATTTTTTTCAAAAGCTTTTTAGCTACAGCAGTATGAATAACATTGTTGTGGCTATATGCATTGTGGACTAACCTAATCAATCTAGAAATTAGTCAACATAAAAGCTATTTTATTCCCTTCAATTATCGGAAATCCTGGTGTCAGTTAGCTTTTCATACATTAGCATTGATTATGTTTTATCTTTTCTGGCTATGCTCATCATTTTAATGTGCATTATCCCAGAGCTGGTGTTGAATATCAAACAACACATTCCTGGATGTGCACAGCAGAAAAAACTAAACTTAACACAAACATTTGAACTAAAATGTTTATTGTTTAGATTAAGTATGATCAAATATAAAACGGACAAGTCAAATCAAGCAATCTGATTGGTTCTTAGCCATGATATACTGAGCGTATACCACGGGTAGAATTGTAAATTACTTTTCACAACAAGTCAGTATCCCTCCGCGCCTGAGACAAACAGTATACAGTTGGGCTGAAAGGCAAACTTTTCAAACTGGAACAAGAAAGCAGCGGAGAAGTAACGGGGCAGAAACTCTCCTTTTTACGCAGCGGTCCAGACATAGACATCAAACGGCAAAACATATTCAGTGTGCAGTTCCTTTGGCATTAGGGCAGGGATATCTAGATACTTTCCAAGGTTTGACATAATGAATTGTGCTACTTTTAAAGCAAGCAACGATGTTTTCAAATCTGTAATCAAAGAGGTCCGCTTAAACGCTATCGACCAATCAGATTGCTTGATTTGACTTGTCAGTTTTATAAATATGTTTACATTTCTTCCGTTACGAAACAAACTTACAAAGCATAAAATGGAAACATTTAAGATTAACTTCGACCTCCAGGGGGGTCTTACTATAGTATGGAGGAGTGGATTGAGGAGTGCCTATCTCCAGAAAAAATGCACCTAAACGACGACATGCAGAGCTACGTGAAGAGCAGGTAGACCAACTGGAAAAGTACCACCATTCAAAAGCTTTCTGATGCGGGTCTTGAAACAAAGCAGAGAAATGATGACCGTTAGTGGCCACAGGTGCGAAAGCTCTCTCCAGAGCTACTGGAAGCCCAATCTCGGGGACCGGATAAAGTGCAATATTCTCGCCACGCCAAGCAACAGCCTAGAACAACCTCAACCTATACAAGTAACCACGTAAGCATTCTACTGATGCTGGACAGTTTTTCAGTGGGTGCAACATACAAATGAATGTAAATAAATAGCCAAATAATGGATCAACGCTCTCTGTCTAATATGTTCGCTAGCTGTTAGTGTTGTTGCATAGCAACCACCTCGCACTATGTTTCGTGCAGAAGGCAACTGAGGGACTATTTTATTTTGAACATAATTATTTACTAATAAAAACTATTTAAATTAGAGTGTGTATTTTTCTTTCATATTGCCACACTTGGTAACCGTTTTATAAAAGCCATTGCTCACTTCAGGCCGTGATATGCTCATTATATCACAGCTGAGGGGGTTGTCGACCCTCCGCTTCGCCTCGGGCCGAACCACGCCCCTTAGCTGTGATATATGAGCATATACCACGGCCTGTCGTGAGCTATTGCTTAAATATATAACAAAGGAAAACCGATTATAGACAAGAGCAGAATTATGCTTTGTGCTCTGTCAGGTGGGCACACAATATCAGACGTTATGTTAATGACTTCTTACTCTTATCCCACTCTGCATTAGGAGTCAACTAGCCTATACATGTTATTGCATCTTTATAATATTGTATTGCTTTTACAAACACATCTGGCTAGTTAACAGGCAGTTAAGGCATTATGTGAGTTATGAAGCCAGACGTATTTTAGTCCTGGAATTGTTCAGCACATTAGTTTATGAAGTCAAACTCAAAGGCCCCAAAAAGAGAGTGCAGTGCTCAGCAGTGCCTCAAATATTACCCCTACCTTATTAATATTCACTGCATTATGCTGTGCATTCTACCATCCACTTGAAAGCCAATTACTGATGAAAAGTCCACCACTTTCATCCTGCAATCTGCAACAACAGACATGCCTGCCAGTGTGAAGTTGGGATTAAAGTTGGCTCATCTTAACTCAGGACAACTTTCACCCAAATGTAGAGAATGCAAATAAATGCAGCGTAAAGAGTATTTAATTATACAACTAAATATGGAAAGAAGCAGATTAATATAACAAGCATGAAAAAAAATCACACTACTCTAATGTTGAATATTTATCATTATATATATAATCTATAAAATGTACTTTTTTTGCACAATGTAAATTTCTTGGGAGGTCTTAAATCATTTTTCGGCTACTGCGTATGTATTATTCACGGGATGTTAACTCTAGGGTTGGCTGTTTTTTTCAAATAATAGTTTAGGTTTCTCTTGAAGGTCACCTAATATAATGGGCATAAAGCTGAGGATCAGGTCATAGTCGACCACCTGTGCTTCCACCATGCTCCCGGATTGGTACCTGAACACGTCACGGGTGCTGCTCTTAATTTGGTTATTACGGCATTTTCAGGAAAACACAGCATACATCTCTAGTGATTCCTACATGCTCACTAATATATGACATATTTCGGTTATAGGCAGTATCTAAAAGGATTGTACGTTGTCAGCATTTTGTTGGAAACATTGGCATACTTGGCTCTGTTTGAGAATGAAGACATTTAAACCTCAGGGAAGGTCCCATATGTTAAATGTCTATAGCATCATCCATCAATGTTAAGTGGTTCTTCTTTTAAGCACATTAGTCATTGTGGGTCATGACTGTGAACACAAAGTGCAGCTTTATTCATTTTAAGTACAGGAGAGGATTATCTAGCCTTACGTCAAGAATCAACCACCAGTACATTCATCTTCATCAAGTCAGTTACGTTTTGACAAGAAATAATATTGGATTTACTTAAGGTGTCACAAAGTTATGAGTTTATATAAGTGTACTTTTGTTTAGCTTGTAGTGCTTTTGGGTGGAAGAAGCCCAAGAAAGGCTGCTGTCTTGTCATTTTGAAATTGCAATATCTCAGACATTGTTTTGGTAGACCTATTTTAAGTCTTAGCCTTTCCTGTCAGGTGAAAACTGATACTGTGGTAGGGGGATTTTAAACCACAGTAGTCTATCACTTCAGGCATCATGTTGCATTTCCTTCAGTGAGCATGTTTTAAATTGCCTCTGGACTTTAACAATGTGTGGTTGACATTGGATTTCTTGAAAGTTTATAGATGCAGTTGTTTACGTAGTTGTATATGAATTGCACACCATGCCATTGCATTCTATGGTGTTGTGGTTAATGGTTGCTATGCTCTCTGTGCATGGTTACTAGGGTAGAATATTGATTTAATCCTCAAGGGCTTTGGTCATATCCTTGGCAGTTCACCTATTGTTATGATAATTAGACATCCCCGGGTAGCCAATGAGTGATAATCTTGTTTGGTCCTTGGTGAAATGAAAAGGTTTCACAGAATAGTGTGGTGGAATATTAACCCCAGTCATATCAGAAATTCCATTACTGATCAAGCCTGAAAATCGCACGTAGTCACACACAGCATGGACTGATAAAGCCAGAGTGTGACATGCTTTTGGGATTGGTCCTTTCCTTGGAACTAACACAAATGTGGAATTATTTAACCCATGCTGTTAAAATAAAATATATATAAAGATATATAATCTGATGATTAATGATGTGTTTGTAATAATGAAGAAAACATTGAACCAGCTGATTTCGGTCATATATATGCTCTATGAAAAGGTTAAAATCAGGACCTTTCTTTTATGTTTATCACTCTAAATAATGTGCAACCTGTAGCATTCTTGGATCGGTGCAAACATGTTGGCGGCAGAGGCTTTTGGAGCAGATTAGATAATAATAACACAGTGAAGGTGGTGTCCAGATTGAAAGACTTCCCGTGTGAGAACAGACACACAGGCAAAGCAGCCATTCAGCAGTGGGATGGATCCTGACTACTAAAGAGGGAGAGGGAGAGAGAGACCGAAAGAGCGAGAGAGCAAGAAATGGGGGAGTGGTGGGTGAGAGAGAGGAAGCGAAAAAGAGAGTGAAAGGTTCCACACGGCAGAATATAAATCTGTATGTTAACAGGACTAAAGCTGGAGGTCTCGAAGCGGCATTAGTGGTCATACTGGTGGGGGGTGGACATAAAGCATCAAGAGGTGGTCTTCCCTATGAACTGAGGATCTGTGCAAATAAGGAACTAAAACCCGTGGGAGCCGTGAACGCTGGTTGTCAAGCACAGTGGTGGGCTGGTCGGAAGTCTGTGACCCCCTCATTTTTATTTCTGGAAGACAGAAGGAGATCAAAAAAGGCACGAGCGAAAGAGGAAGGTGGCTTCGAGGGACCCGTGAGCCATTTCTCTCTTTGATTACTTCCATTCACAAAACCATTGCATCCCATTATCACAGCGATGTAGAGGTATTCTCTTCGGTTAGAGGAGGAAGGGTCCCATTGACTGCTGAGGCTTAGCACCTCTCTCCAAGCGCTAGCCCTTTTCATTGCGGTCCCCCCCTCATCTCTCGCCTCTATCCTTTACGTCTGCTGTTTCTTTTCTTGTCCCTTGTATTCTTGTCCTTTTTCACAGCACTCAGGAATCAGGAGGCATTGCGTTTTGGTAGAAGTGGGTGTTTCTGGAGCTGTCATTGTGTTGGGTGCCGCTACAAAGGACAGCTGAGCAGGGAGTGAGAGAGACAGCTTTGGTGATAATAAAATAGCAGCTTGAAAGAACGGGGGGGACCTGGGACAACAGGAAGAGCTGACAACCAATGGAAGGTGAATTGTGATGAAAAAGAAAACTGTTACAGAGACTGCCAACCATTTTAAGGTAGCTATTTATTGACACCATCAACACTTCTGGAGGAAATAAAGAAGCAGTGTGCCAAACCAACACTGCCGGCTGGATTCTGCTATTACTGTTGCTAAGCAAAGTCTTTAACCTGAAGTTCTTGGGCAGACAGTATTGAGCACTCTACAGCCATGAAAGAAAGCTCAGAGGAAAGCATTGAAAGCACCAGGCCCTCCAACCTGCACGCTTTTGCCAACATATCCACCCTACATGGCATGAGTCACATTTTCGCCTATGGGCACATGACATTCCGTCGGTTTCTTTGGACTATTTCCTTTCTTGGTTCACTAAGCTTACTGATGCTGGTGTGCATGGATCGAGTGTCCTATTACCTGGAGTATCCTCACGTAACCAAACTAGACGAAGTGGCGGCGCCAAACCTCACCTTCCCAGCCGTTACCTTCTGTAACCTCAACGAGTTTCGCTTCTCCAAAATCACAAGAAATGATCTGTATCATGTGGGAGAGCTCTTGGCCCTCCTGAATAATAACTACCAAATAGCCAACACACACTTGGCTGAGCCCGAGGTCCTGGCTGCTCTAAAGGATAAGGCGAACTTTCAGAACTTCAAGCCCAAACAGTTCAACATGACTGACTTCTATAATCGTACGGGTCATGACATCGGGGAAATGCTACTGCAGTGCACCTTTCGAGGAGATAATTGCTACCCGGCTAACTTCACTATTGTAAGTACTCATGCGTACACACTCGATTATCTTAACATGCTGTAATTCTGCACAGTGTGCTGTATTTCCTGCCAGACCTGACAGCTTGTCCCTTTCTTTTATGTTCAGATAGGCTTAGACTGAGCTTTAATGTTGCTTGTGCAATTTATTTCAAACAGATGCCATGCTTTAATGCATCTAGTACACTATTATAGTCCAGTGTTAATGTTGTATTTGTTATTTCTTAAGTGTTGCCAGTACTTGCAAAAGCTAGTTGTGGGTGTTGCTTTTTTTTTTTAACCTTAGTTCATGTTTTTTCCATGCTGAGAGCAAACAGTGCATGAAACTTGTGATACAGGTCAGGTCTTGAGGTGAAATGCTTCAAAGATATGCTTTTTTTTCTCCATTACTGGCTCGCTTGAACTCTGAAGGCTGCTTGGCTTCTAAGAAGAGAGACATCCTTTCTGTTGGCTGTGTTTGCCCCCCCCCATGAGATGCTGTTTTAGTTTAAATGTATGGTTTGGGCATTGCACACATGTGTTTGTTTTAGCAAATCTGACTGATGTTTTAATAACATTTTCCGAATTGAAGTTCCTCACTGATTATTGCTTTGGGAGTAGGTTGGGTTCACCCTTGGTGTCTCTTGTCATTATTTTTCCCATCTTCTTTATTCTCCGCATTTAAATATTCATCAATCAGTGTTGCTCCTAATGATCTTTTTCAGACAAGTTATTTCTCAGTTTTGAGTAGAAACAATTGAATGTTTGTTGTGCATTTACATTTTTTAAAGAACATTAAGACTTCTACAAAGATTATTTTAGAAAAAGCTCTTTGAAAAAAGGAGTTTTTACCAAGCAGTCACACTGTGTGCTTTTGATTTATTCAACACTACATTTGGCTGTGCAGCCAATCAAGCCTAGCTCTTCATTCACCATTCAATATGAAAGAAGTTCACTAAACTTTAATGTTTTGCTTTTGTTTTGCTCTTTGAGCCGATGATTTAGAGATAATACCACATACCCGATCAATGATGGAGTGTTACATTAAAAAGTAACTTGGAAGTAGACGGAGTAACATAAATTGCCCCCACAGTAGTGTCATGGGTTGATTAGAAGTAATGGACTATATTAAAGCAGAGATGTGAAGCTGGGTGACATCAGACGAATGATCCTCATAAAGATCTCAACACGCCCAAGTACTGATGCTGCATTATAATGTACACTGAGGGATGTGTCTGTAATATTTTTTTTAAGTGGCACTTCAACCCCAGCCACAAACTGTTCTGTCTGCTGCCGTCTGGCAGGCGTTACCGCAGCATCCGGACAAAAACCACCAGACTCAGAGACAGTTTCATCCCAAAGGCAATAAGACACCTGAACTGCTAAAAACAACATCTGTTAAACGCCCGAACTGCCGAAACAACATTCTCATCTGCTACTTAGAAATTATTTATCTATTTATCTAATATATCATTCCAATAACTTGCATATAGACTCTTATTGTGCTATTTCACTTTTTTAAACTATTTTTCTTTTTTTATTTACTATTTACTTGCACTATATTTTTCTGTTTATCTGCGTTATTGTGTTGCACTGTTGGAGAAGCCTGTGACCTAAGAATGACAAAATAAAGAACCTTGAACCTTGAACGTACACAGGGACCCTTAGTAGTCCTTATTGAAAAGGGTGACCTTATAGACAGGTGTTATATTTTAACTGGAATAAAAATATCCTAAAAGAGAAAAAATAGGATGTTAGCCTCAAGAAGTTATACATTTGTGCTACAATTAAACAATGAAATTGACATCACATAAACATTTTTTAGATTCATGTGTATTATATCGCTACAATCATGTTCCTGTACGTATACATGCAGTTGCCAATTTGACTTTATAACCAAATTAGGAATAGAATTTAGAGTAAATCAGACTTTTTCATAATGATTAGCCCATTTTATTTGATTCAAATGGAGGAGAAAAAAAGCAGTTGGCAAATCTTTCCTTGCTTCAGTCTGGATTGCAGATTATTTTATTTTGAACAAGAGTACATGGGCCAAAAAGAATAAAGGGCCTAGGGAGAGGCAATACTGCAATATCACTTGTTTCTGTTTCATTTCCAACTCTTTTTTTTCAAGACGTTTTATTATTCTGACTGCGTCCGTGTCCTATACGCCATCTTTTAAAGTGCACATTTGATGGGGTGACATCCAACTTACTTATCTCTAAATGAGTTTATCTGCTATCAAAAATACAATTTCTTATCTACGTTGTATCTTTAATCTACCCTAAAATAAATCCCCACAGATGGCCAGTTTTTAAGTGACTGACCTATAATCGTCAGAGTTGAAGAAAACTTGTCTTTGCTTTTTTTAACATTTATATTTTATAGACATTTTCAAAGACAAAAACATAAGGACAAGGACATGGCTCACACACATCACAAACAGAACAGGACAATAACATTAGGGTGGGGGGGGGATTACAGTGTCAGTTACATTTTATGTATGCATATGGCGTGTTATTTATACATGATTTGCTTCATAATATAGATATACTTCATTGTTTTCCTCATTATTATTGGTCAAAAAAACGTATAATAGATAAATAAATAGATAAATAGTCAAATAAATAAATAAAGATATATATATATATACACACACACATATACACACATATACACACATATACTGTACAAACACACACACACACACACACACACATACTTTACAAACACACACACACACACACACACACGCATACACACACACACACACATACTTTACAAACACACACACACACACACGCACACGCATACACACACACTCTTTAACACCCGCTTCACACGCCGTCCATCAAATCTGCTGCATCATTTGAATCCATCTTCCTCTTCGTCCTCTTCACTCTGCAGAGG